ATTGCTGATGTTGGTAATGTAGTGTAGTCTTATTCACCAGGTTCTTGACATATCGCTGATGTTGTTAATGCAGTGTAGTCATATCCTCCATTCTTTCAGATCCCACTGCTAATGGTAATATTATGTACGTAAATATCCAAAGTTCACATTCTGAAGATGTTGGTCGTGTAGTGTAGTTATACTGCCCAGGTTCTTCGCATCAAGTTGATGATGGTAATATAGGGTTTTCCCACTGCTACTGTTGGTCGTGTAGTGTAGTCATGTTTCCCAGGCTCTTCGCATCAAGTTGATGATGGTAATATAGGGTTTTCCCACTGCTACTGTTGGTCGTGTAGTGTAGTCATGTTTCCCAGGTTCTTCACGTCAAGTAGATGTTGATAAACTAGGGTTCTCCCGCTACCGTTGTTGGTCGTGTAGTGTTGCCATACTCCCCAGGCTCTGCACATAAAGTTGATGTTTACATCATGTTTACTAATTCATGGTGGCATATATTACTAAAGAATGTGTTTGGTCGGACCATTTCATGTTTGTATAAATGACTATTGTTACATCTCCTTTGCCTTGATCGCGTCTCCTTATTCCGCATTATCTCCACATTTGTTGCAAGAGTGGGACACGGTGCGTGCTGTGAGTTGATGAGCAAGTATTCTTCCACTCACATGACAATGTTTTTCGCCTTTTAGAACATCACTGTATAATATTTTGCAGGAGATTTTGCAGAACCTTAAGAAATGCCCCATTAATTTTGATAGACAGTTATGTGACAATGTACTATTTCTACAATGTGATTCTTTACACGGCTTGTACACGAGGATGCCAGATATGAGAACCGTGATGAGCGACGTTAAGGGCAGAAAACACTAACATATAATTCTAAACTCACGCAATGCGAGACTTAATCTTGTACTTGAACACAAGTAAGGATGATGATAAAGGGAGACGTATAGGTGGTACAGTAAGGCGCCAGTGATGGTACACAAACCCGCATATTGAGAAAAATATTGTTAGTATACAGGATCGTATGCAGAATGATACAGGAGCACTTAGATATACAGGATCTTGTGCAGAATGATACAGGAGCACTTAGATATACAGGATCTTGTGCAGAATGATACAGGAGCACTTAGATATACAGGATCGTGTGCAGAATGATACAGGAGCACTTAGATATACAGGATCGTGTGCAGAATGATACAGGAGCACTTAGATATACATGATCGTGTGCAGAATGATACAGGAGCACTTAGATATACAGGATCCTGTGCAGAATGATACAGGAGCACTTAGATATACAGGATCTTGTGCAGAATGATATAGGAGCACTTAAATATACAGGATCTTGTGCAGAATGATACAAGATCACTTAGGCAGGATCGTGTGCAGAATGATACAGGAGCACTTAGATAGACAGGACCGTGTGTAGAATGAAATATGACACTTAGATATACAGGATCTTGTGCAGAATGATACAAGATCACTTAGGAAGGATCGTGTGCAGAATGATACAGGAGCACTTAGATAGACAGGACCGTGTGCAGAATGATACAGGAGCACTTAGATATACAGGATCTTGTGCAGAATGATACAGGAGCACTTAGATATACAGGATCGTGTGCAGAATGATACAGGAGCACTTAGATATACAGGATCTTGTGCAGAATGATACAGGAGCACTTAGATATACAGGATCGTGTGCAGAATGATACAGGAGCACTTAGATATACAGGATCTTGTGCTGAATGATATAGGAGCACTTAAATATACAGGATCTTGTGCAGAATGATACAAGATCACTTAGGCAGGATCGTGTGCAGAATGATACAGGAGCACTTAGATAGACAGGACCGTGTGTAGAATGATATATGACACTTAGATATACAGGATCTTGTGCAGAATGATACAAGATCACTTAGGAAGGATCGTGTGCAGAATGATACAGGAGCACTTAGATAGACAGGACCGTGTGCAGAATGATACAGGAGCACTTAGATATACAGGATCTTGTGCAGAATGATACAGGAGCACTTAGATATACAGGATCGTGTGCAGAATGATACAGGAGCACTTAGATATACAGGATCGTGTGCAGAATGATACAGGAGCACTTAGATATACAGGATCTTGTGCAGAATGATACAGGAGCACTTAGATATACAGGATCGTGTGCAGAATGATACAGGAGCACTTAGATATACAGGATCTTGTGCAGAATGATACAGGAGCACTTAGATATACAGGATCGTGTGCAGAATGATACAGGAGCACTTAAATATACAGGATCTTGTGCAGAATGATACAAGATCACTTAGGCAGGATCGTGTGCAGAATGATACAGGAGCACTTAGATAGACAGGACCGTGTGTAGAATGATATATGACACTTAGATATACAGGATCTTGTGCAGAATGATACAAGATCACTTAGGAAGGATCGTGTGCAGAATGATACAGGAGCACTTAGATAGACAGGACCGTGTGCAGAATGATACAGGAGCACTTAGATATACAGGATCTTGTGCAGAATGATACAAGAGCACTTAGATATACAGGATCGTGTGCAGAATGATACAGGAGCACTTAGATATACAGGATCTTGTGCAGAATGATATAGGAGCACTTAAATATACAGGATCTTGTGCAGAATGATACAAGATCACTTAGGCAGGATCGTGTGCAGAATGATACAGGAGCACTTAGATAGACAGGACCGTGTGCAGAATGATATATGACACTTAGATATACAGGATCTTGTGCAGAATGATACAAGATCACTTAGGCAGGATCGTGTGCAGAGTGATACAGGAGCATTTAGACAGGATCGTGTGCAGAATTATACGAGAGCTCTTAGATATGCGGCCGAGATAGGGGGGCACTTAGATAAACGGGATCGTGTGCAGTTCGATTAAGTTTTGTCAGAAGTATATACAGTCTCACAACATCTGACCTTCCCCACAATTCCTATAAGCATTTTGTTGCCATATATGTGCATGCATGGCTGGTCCAATAACACCTATAAGGCGCTCGTTAGGACGTCTGCAAACTCCGCTCATGGAAGTCGAGAGTGAACCTCAATTCGTCACAAAACACAACGTCGATTATCGAAGTGCTGAAGTTTCTTTCACCAGCGCCGCTTCAGATTCAAATGACGTGCAGTAAATTGTGAGAAGACACAGGGACAATTGCCATCTTTGCAGACTATAGTATCGCCTGGGCATTAACCCGTACACCAGTTACCTGTTACAAGTGATCCCTTATCTGAGTGGCAAGTCATGTCATGGTTGTGACTACCTCTGTTGGGCTTGAGGGGCGTCCAGCATCGACGCTATGGTATTGGCCTTCACCAATAATCTGGCGTGTGCCACCCAGCAGCATACGTTTAGCTCGCTGCAAACGTCGCATGATCAGTACAGAGTGGATGTTTTCAGAGAGATTATTTGAGCGTTTGGTTCTAAGAAAACTTATTCGCGTTTGCTCACAGCAGTGGGTGTAACAATGGTAATTATATAATACAACATATTGCAAGTACTGTCTGAAGTCACAAGGTCCATGATTGTCACGTCTGTCAATCGCTTAAGATGTTTACCACTTTGAGGACCTTTTACCAAAAATGACACTGTACCGTTTAGGGAGATATTAATGGTGATTCAGTTGTGAAACATGTGCACATGTATAACTTATATTCATCATGTGAGATAAAAATCGCATCTGTTGGGACATCTAACATTTCATCGATTAATGACGAATATTACACCATAGAAAGTAATGAAATACTGTTGCCGAGATAATCGATGCAATTTGTTGCTATATTCACCTTGATACCTTTGCAAAAGACACCCACTCAAATTGTTCAGTTAAATCAAATCATTGCCTTCGTCTTCCTCTCGCCTCACCACCCCCTCCAAATAATACTTCACCAACCACCCTTAACCTTTAGTTCTCCACCCTCTGTCCTCGCCACCCCCTCCAACACACTCTACAACCTCCCCTTTCTTTAGTTCTCCGTCCTGTCCTCACCACCCCGTCCAACACACTCTACAACCTCCCCTTCCTTTAGTTCTCCACCCTGTCCTCACCGCCCCCTCCAACACACTCTACAACCTCCCCTTCCTTTAGTTCTCCACCCTCTGTCCACGCCACCCCCTCCAACATATTCGTCTACAACCTACAACCCCCTTCCTTTAGTTCTCCACCCTCTGTCCTCGCCACCCCTCCAACATATTCTGTCTACAACCTCCCCCTTCCTTTAGTTCTCCACCCTCTGTCCTCACCACCCCCTCCAACATATTCGTCTACAACCTCCCCTTCCTTTAGTTCTCCACCCTCTGTCCTCGCCACCCCCTCCAACATATTCGTCTACAACCTCCCCTTCCTTTAGTTCTCCATCCTCTGTCCTCGCCACCCCCTCCAACATATTCGTCTACAACCTCCCCTTCCTTTAGTTCTCCATCCTCTGTCCTCGCCACCCCCTCCAACATATTCGTCTACAACCTCCCCTTCCTTTAGTTCTCCACCCTCTGTCCTCGCCACCCCCTCCAACATATTCGTATACAACCTCCCCTTCCTTTAGTTCTCCACCCTCTGTCCTCACCACCCCCTCCAACACACTCTACAACCTCTCCTTCCTTTAGTTCTCCACCCTCTGTCCTCATTAACCCCCCAACGTACACGTCTACAACCTCCCCTCCCCTTCCTGTCCCCATCAAACCTGAACATTCCCCAACTTCCTCCTCTCCATCAACAACCCTGTCCAACATCTCTCCCCATCTGTTATGGTTGCGATCTCTGTTTTTCAAATACAGAAGTCCATGAGCCAGGCAGCATCTCACCTCCCAGCCGCTGTCAACGAGTTACGCCATAACTCACAACAGGAATACCATGTATACAACTGCCGTCTCCTCCGTCCATCCTCTCAAATATCATAACTGTAACATCAATCCTCTCCTATCTTCAGTCCTTCGTTTGTTGGTCTCCTCAGTATATTTTTTCTCCTTCTGTTTTCAGAGACTCACAGCTGGGGAATGACCTCTTCTCCCATGCCTGTTTGGTATCTGCTAGCCCTCGCCCTGTCGTCTGTTGTCTACGTCACTCAGTCACTTCCAGTACAAGACGTTAAAGACTTGAATGACGTCATCATCAATCAAGATGACAACACCTGTAAAGCCGACTTTGTTGAAAAATTCGTCAGGTTAATGTCTGGACCACTTGGCACTGAAGCAGATGCCCTTTTAGCATCAGTGATGAAACTTTTGTCGAAGAATGACCGTGTTAATTTTGCAGGAACGGCTGTGTCTCAAAACAGTCTACCCAAACTCACAGATGGGAAACCTAGTTTTTCTCAGAAACGTTTGAAGCCTGATTTCAATCCGACCGGTTGGCGACGGAAGCGTGACGTTGGAAGAAGGATGAAAATACGACGGGCACTGCAGGGCTTATATGACATGCTAGAGAGCAGTGATGTGGTCAATATAGCGAGTCAGTCATGGCTGAAGAGAGACAGGTCACAGGATAGAGCCATGTTCAATCCTACAGGCTGGTGACAGCCATATTCTCTCAATACTTTGTCCGCTGGTGCGTTCATTGATATATGGTAATAAAGGATGCAAGGATGCAAGTTTACTTATTTGTTGTTTCTGTCAAAACTGTTGATTCATTGGAAAATATGATAGCTTTACTACAATAGGGTGTTTTGCGGGTACTCATTGATATGAATCCTTGTACATAATGGTATGTGTACATGTGTACATAACTTGGTTCACGTGTACCATATAATATTGTACCTGCCAGCTTGACTGTGTGTGTAACTGTTTGCATATTTTAACATATTCTGACACAACATGTTTCCCCCGACTGATATTCTGACATTATGAGCAATATATCTACATACATCGCTCTTCCCATTTTGTTCCAGAACCTGCGTTGCGTAAATCAATCTCAAAGGATCACGAAAACTTAGTAATATGATAATATTGTAAAATGAAAAAGCCAGAAAATGTAAAGCGATTGCCCAATATCTTCATACAGCACTATTCTCCTTTTGTTCCAGAACCTGCTTTGCCTAAATCAATCTCAGTGGATCACGAAAATTTAGTAATACGATAATATTGTGAAATGAAAAAAAATGAAAATGAGATATAAAACAATTGTTCAATATTGCAAAGGAATGTTTACCTGTTTCACAAACAGCATATGTCGTAGTTTTTTATTGGAATATCTTACGGAATCGGCAGTTTTGACTGGAAATGTTTAATAATCTATTTACCTATCCTCATAACACTTATGATATGGTAATTGTAAATAGAGGCTATGGTTTATAATGAGGTGAAGCCCCGGAGTTGTGTATCGCATTGCCCTGTGTAGGTTCACCATGGGTAAGATCTAGTGGTCTTCTACGACCGTACGATATTCTTTAAGAAGTTTTCGTATTATGTTTAGGGAATTTTGCTTTTGAAAAGAATACCTTCACATAAAAGTAGACCGGTGTGTCTCTGGAAACGCATGGGTGGAACGCACTTCTATGTTATCTAACTCCAAGGGCGCCAATTTACATTCTTGCATTAGAGTATGTGCCATCCTTTATATTTCGATCTACAAAACTGATTTTTCCAAAAATTCAATTGTAGCATTTCACGTGTATTTTGTAGTATAAGACAATAACTTTTGACAAGGCTTTTGCAAGTGACACAATTTCTCGAGGCATTCAGAGCAACACTCGTTATTCTTGAGTTATTCACATATATACACTGGCCGAATGTCCTAGTCTGTCAGTATGCTGAAGAAAAGACGCAATGACATTGTACTTTGACTTGAGGTTATTCCACAATCTGATTGTAAAATAGAACTGGCCATTGGGTGAGAATTTACAGCAGTGCCGTCTATGCTGCTCATCTCTGTCCCTTCTTAACCTTCACAATAAAACCATTATTAACAAAATCATACTGTTTAAGAGCTATCTGTGCTTGCCTAATGTTCATGAGAAGGTGAGATAACGCACCAGTGTTTGACTATTTGAATTACACACAAAGACTTAGCTGCCCCAATCAAGCACACTAAGTTTTGTCCAAACAAGGATCTCAAAGCTTGAGGACCTAATTAAACTATCATAGGTCGTTATGGGTTCTCTTTCCAAGATTACAAAATTGATTTTGGAGCGCGGTTTAAGCTGTGCGCCTTGTTGATTTAGGAATTATAGATAATGGCTTTTGAATACCCATTGTTCATCCCAGTATCCAATGTTGCCTTTCCTTACTTTCATAGGGATTTTATAACCCAGCCATTTAGCGTTTCAGTAGAAACACATCCAATATTCAATTGTTATGCTGAAATTTAAAGGGAAAGGTTAAAGTGCGTTGTAACAGAACTAGCAAAAGACAATTAGAATCCAGTCCTCCTCCACCTAATCTAATAGTCCCAAAACGATTGAAGATGAGGCCACGTGATACGTACACTGGCTTGCTGTATAGTGTGATATAACTGACGTGTCCATAGTTTGTGAGGACTATTTGGGTGAATGTGTGCGTCATGACACCTGAAACAGCATATCACAAACGTATCTTTATGTGTCAGCGTTTGAATAATATTCGTACAAGGATGGATGTAGCCTCTGTAAACACACATACGGCGTATGTGTATAAAGTGGATGTATCGTCTGTTTTACGAAGACTAACTGCAACCTTTCCTGGATGATATCTCTCAATGAACGTATTTCTTGGCATTATATGATTCTCCTGCGTTTGACTGTCGTGCCCGTTGCCAACGTCCCCTTACCTACAAGCACATGTGTCGGTGCGTGAGCATGCAGCGAGGGCAGCCGGAGGGCCCAACAACTTCAGGCGGTAGCATGAACAGCAGTCAGTGCGAGGATTGGTCGAGAACTGTCAATTGCACAGTTGGATGCTCTGCAGTCGGCAGTAATTACAAACTTATGGATGTCAAGTGATATTAACTCCATCGTCTATCTACTCGACAAACCCTCTCTGGGCGCTTGAGGTAATTGATGAGAAAGAAGCGCAACAAAACAACTGGACACCTGCACAAGTAACAACATGTGGCAGCTATACTGTAGTGTTCGTCGAAACCCCGCACACAATTAAGAAACTAAAAATAAATACGTAACTATATAATCTATAACTTAGAACGATCGATATGAACTAAGCTGAGAATTCGCGCTGGTCATTGTAAATGCATTACGAATCTAACATATTCGTACAAGATGTAAGTACATGGTACAGTGGTTAGCCAGAGCATTAGCATACTGTATCATAATGAAAATCAATCTCCAAACAGTGAAACCTGTTCTTAGTGTTTATAATCTTGATATATAACGATGAAATACTGTCATACTGTTTGTTTGAGAAAACAGATTTCACATAAAATACGCCTTTTCCACGATTAACTCTCAACTAATATTGCATGTTTGTAAGGTTGACAATTTCAGCAGTTACGATTTCGGTACTATTAGCGATGCAATATGAATTTGTCATCTTGGAGATTATAGACATTTTCAATATTGTTCCATGTTTTCATTTCCGCAGCAGCGTCAGTCCAGTGTCGCTAGGCGACGGTATCCCATGTTTGTGATTTTGATATTCAAAACAAACCGTTCTAACAAGAACAGACAGGGCAGATGTCCTTAATTTAAAACCTACACTACACACGAGGTCTATTAAAGGTTCCCCGCAAATAACAACAGATACAATAATACATTTGTCTTCGGACGGCACATTACCAATTCATGAGTAGCGTAAAGCACCATTTTCATCATTAACAGCATACGCAGAAGTGGTGCACTTGAGTGTTCCAGGCATTGTATTTATGAATTTAAAGTACTTCTCCTGTTGCGATATTATATTGCCAACTTCATTGCAAATTTGGGGGAATTCGTTTTTGTTAACAAAATCCGTTTGGCCGCTTTAGAACGTCGACTAGTGTTTGTTTGAATATGCAGCCAAGACACATGGTGTAATGGCTGGGCCTCAATGCATCGCAGCCACGCGATTGGTGTGAGATATATACGCCGTATATATATATATAATCTTGAAGCATTAGAGTAATAGTAGAATTTGCACGCTGTACTTTTACCCAAAAATATTTATAGGACCTAGATAATAAAATGCAAAATATACATCATTCAAAATCGGAATGGTGGAAGAGAATGCTTCATACCTTAAGATAGCTGGACACATTAAACATGATATCCTCAGAGAAACTCAAACACAAGTTCCATGTAAATAATGAACCATGTACATGTATTTCAGGTTAAAATAAGTAATGGTGTCACTAAAACAAAATCTTGACAAAGTCTTAAAGTAACCCTTATAACTAAAGAAATTTTGATTGCGCGAGTGATTGTTATAACGTGGTGGACAACTGTCTCAAGGTATGGTAACGATCAACAGTCCATGCGAACGGTACACTTGCTATATGCACATGAGCCACAACAGAGGGCTGGGTTCCCAAACAGGTTCACAGGTCAGAGAAATATCACATTCTTTAAAGTTTTAAGTACCTTACTCACTGTAACTCAATATGAAACTGACAACTGTATTTAAGATGCATGTCATATTGATGTGCTGTATGAGGAAAGGCAGGCATGAAAAATACATAGACCATATCAAGTAATGAATGCTGAATGTTGTGCTAAAATATGATTGAAATATAGTTGAAAATCGATTAAATAGATGACAATGATATTATAATCCAGCAGCTGTGTTTATGTATGATGGCAAATTTGGAATCAATGTCACAACAGAAAGGGCTCTAATGTTTATTAGGGTAGCATTTTCGTCAGATGAGGTGACGCTTTAAGGTTGCACCCTTTGTAAAGCGAAAAAGATTGTGTACAGTAAGGTCTGATTATTACTACTGTTATAGTGCAAATATTTCACTAATATTTCACACACAAAAATATAATAACTATGATATGAAATTTATATGAATTCACAAAAGTTCCTATGTTGTGATTTTCCTATGTTGTGATTTTCCGTACACAAACGAGAGTAACTCACTCAGGTTGTAAAATACATGCCGCCAGACATGGACGTACTGTAGACAATAGATAACGGTTTGCACTGGCTGTCTGTCACTTCCTGATGGACACGCTGACCACATAATGATAATCCCACAAGCAAGTCGGCGGTCAATCTGAAATGCTTCTGGCTAAATGAAACGGGGTCTTCCCATTTACCCAACTCCTATTGCTTCAGTAGAAGAAATCACTGGGGTGTGATAATCCCCTTTAATCCCTTATTTTGTTCCCTGTGAAATAGTATCCGGGACCAAATGGAATCAAATACTACTACTTTTGACTCAATGTTTGTCTGTATTTTTTAATCACATATACAAGTTATCCAGTTATACAAGTTATCCAGTTATACAACTTAATACAACATCAACATCATATCACATATTACATCAATATTTCGCAGCATACCTTTCACACTTAATATCCAGTTAAATGTGGTACGAGTCAGTGTATGACATGACAGTTCTGGCACCAGTTATTAGTTCTCTCTTGTACATTTCCAAGGCATGGTTCAGTTCAACATATCTTCTCTTCCTACGTGAAGGTCTGGCACCGTTCCTTTGCTGTAGAACATATGCCTCTACCCAGGC